CTCCCCCCCCCATGGCCTAAAATATAGGAAACAAAATAACAGATATCTTATAAACATAAGGTTTACTTCACAATACCTTGACAAAGTGGATTTGGGTGCCATCCATCTTGGGTGCATGTGGCCCTGTCGTCCCTGTCATCTATCCTCCTGTAGCCTGTCTCACAACGGTAACGTGTCCACTCACCCGATTTGAATGTTTGCGGCCAACGATTGCGCCAAGACACATGTGGGACTCCTCGTTTGCTGCACGTAACCTCTAGAATAAGAAAGATGTTTTGTAAATCTCGAGCAATCGAGCTTATGAAATATAAAAAAATAAAACAGCATTCACAGCAGTATCATACCTTGGCATACAGGTCTGATATTCCACTCTCCATCCTCTTTGCATGTAGTTACTACTGAGACCTCTTGATGACTAAAAATCCAGTGCTTTTCTCCACAATTTACTGTCACTTGGTCACCAGGTTGGAACGTGTTTTTATGAACAGGTTCATAGCTGGTTCCTTTCAGCGCTGGCAGTTGTAGTTTACATGCTATTGCTGTATTTGTTGGAAAATAAACATATTATCCGTCAGAACCTATATTTATTGGGAAGTGTCACCAGACACTGCATTACTCAGTTTTTACTTACGTTCACACAGAGGTGTGGGGCTCCATTCTGCTCTTACTCCTTGCTTTGTGCATTTTGAAGATCTGTCTTCAACGCGTGTAAATAAGTGATCACACTGAAACTCCAGGACTTGATGTTCTTTGTACTCTTGGATTTGTCCAAGCACTTCACCATTTGCAATCTCGGGTGCTGTACATATTATCTCTGTTGAATAATACACAAGCAAGAATAAAGATTTCTGAAAGGTCACCTATTATGCAAAATCCACTTTTTCATGCATCTTATACATAAACATGTGTCCCCTCTGTGTAAAGAGATTCTGAAAGTTTCAGGAAAAAATATTTGCTCACTTTTTGTCCTGATCCATTGTCACCAAGTGTCACCAGTACACTGTATTACTCCGTTTTTACTTACGTTCACACAGAGGTGTGGGGCTCCCAACAAACATAACCCCAAAAACATTTAAATGTAGCGTTTTTAAAAATAATTTAGGGAATGAAACAGAAATAAACAGAATGAACATTGCCCTTGAATTTTCAGTTAAACTGTAAATAATAATAGTTAAAAAATAGTGAAACAAACCATTTAGAAATGAATACTAGTCTTCAATAAAGACAAATAAGATCACCCTTTAATAAGCAACAATTCAGTTTTTGGGTGCTGAACACATTATCTTTGTTGCATAATACACATAGCAAGACTACGAATGTATTTAGGAAAAGGCTAATTAAAAAGCCGTCGTGTGGATGCAGCCTGTAACAATGGGGTGTGGGAGGGCATCTATAACATCTGTTGCTGTTTTTTAACTGCAGGTTCATACTGTAGCTGGTTCCTTCCAGTGATTGCAGATATAGTTTACATTTTATTGTTGCACTGTCCGTCACAGAACCAGTTTTCAGTGGTTTGTCTGATATTATAAGTCAATCGAGTTACTCAGTTCACACATAGGTTCACATTAAGTCCTGGATATGGTTTTATTCATATATATAATTCCCCCTCTTGCTTACCTTCCTGTTGTAAAGATGTATCCATTTTAAGGCACAGTGTAAAGAACCCAAGAAAGTAAAAATATGTCATTGTGATGATCCAGGAATAGCTGTACTTCTGTAATTACTTAAATCGAGTCTTTCTACACACTGGAAAGTACAAACAATTGAATGAAACTGTCTCAGGAACACGAGTACCTCCCCCTTAGCACACACACACACACACACACACACACACACACACACACACACACACACACACACACACAANATATTTGTTTGTTTGTTTGTTTGTTTATTTATTTAAAGGACAGTGCACATTAATCCACATTGCTGTAAATGAGCCAGTATTAGCCAGCAGGCTAATTTTCAACTGTTGTCCTTGGCAAGATGTTAAATGACCACAACAAGACTAGAAAATAAAAACATAATTAAATAGAGTACAGCAAACAGATGAAATATCATCATACCTTGATACAGTTAAAAGTGTTCACATGTTTGTTTGTTTAAAAGCCAGTTCTTATGATTGTGGTTAAATGTATGATAGGAGGTGTTATTCCTGTGTTATACCAATCTGTATTGGTATTGTGTTCCAGAGTGTTGGTGCCCTCACAGAGAAACAGTGTTTACCAAAGGAACTGGACCTAAGAGGGACTACACAGTCCCCTCTTAGGGCAGACCTTGTGGTTCTGCTGTTTGAATTTCTCTGCTGTATATAGTGCAGAGTGGTGGGGGTGCCTTGCCGTTTAGAATTAAAAAAATGAGACATGCATCAGTGTGTTTTAAAATATTTTCCCAGCTGAGCAGGTTATGTTTGTCCAGGATTTTGCAATGGTGGTATAGCTTAGGTTTTCTGTCCAAAACTTGGCTTGTTTGTGAAGTGATAGGATAGGCCTTAATGTTGTGCTATTCGCCTGGGTCCAGCTGGTCATACAGTATGTTAGGCGGGGAAGGATCATGGCAGTCATATAGAGTTTTGCTACAGGTGTTGTCAAACAGTTCCTTATATATCTAAAGTTTGCTAGATTGTATTTAGTTATTTGCATTACCTTTCTCACTTGTTTTTTGAAGGATAAAGTAGTTTCAAGGATAATGCCTAGATATTTAAAATGTGTAACTGTTTGAATGACCTCCCCAGACACATAGACCTTGGGTTCACAGTGTGATACAGTGTTGGTCTTGCTAAAAATCATAGAGACTGTCTTCTTAACCTTCAGATATAGCTGGGAGTCAGTAAGCCATTGAATTGCATGAACCATTGCATCATTTAGTTTGGCCGCAGCTTGGGCCTTGGTTTTTGCATGGACATAAATGACAGTGTCATCAGCATACATTTGCACCTCACATCCAGTGCACACTGATGGCAAGTCATTTATATAAAGGCTGAATAGAATTGGGCCCAGGATAGATCCCTGGGGTACACCCAGTTCATTCCTCAGGGGTGGTGATGTCTCGCCACTAACCTTTACACACTGAACTCTGTCTGACAGAGAGCTCATCCAGTCTATTGCACTGGGTGAGAAATTAAAATAAGACATTTTGTGAATGAGTACTTGATGATTGACTGTATCAAAAGCTTTCTTAAGATCTAAGAAGATTGCTCCAACAATGCCTCCTTTGTCCATTTTTGATTTAATATTTTCCACAAGGAAACAATTTGCGGTCTCAGTGGAATGATTGGCTCGGAAGCCGAATTGCATGGGGTGTAGTGTGAAAGGACTACTGTTAAGATGTCCAGTCAATTGCTCAGCTACACATTTCTCAGAGTTCAAAAGTGTCTTTTGATTTGGAATTGTTTAAAGAAGAAATTATAGAATTAACTTTGGATTCAGAAGTCTCTGTCAGGGAGAAGACTGGCTCTGTACAATCAATAGGTGATGAATGTATTTGACCAATTTGGGGACTGTTTATAGTCAGCCTCACAGAATTAATCAAATGTTTATTAAAAATAGCCGCTATTTCTGTAAAGCCAAAATACCCAAAATACAATGTGAGCCTGAAAATAAGACTAATATCTTCCTTTAACAAAGAAAACACAATACTTTTTTAGACAATGCAACAACTCTTATGCTATGACCACCACTGTAATCATTATAGCTTAGAAACAACGTTTTGAATGTCATTTTTGTATCATCAACAAGTTGCAATTGAGGTAAGACATGGAGAGGCACGGACCACAAAAAAAAGCTTTGGTGTTGCAGTTGTGAAACATAACACATCACATAGATGTTGAATTAAAACAAATCTGAATGCGTTGACGCTTGGATGTTTTATACCGAAATGCACCTTGGGAGTTGTGTTAACCTCTCTCCCATTGTTTTACTACAGTCGTGTACCATCAACTTTTTATCAAAAAAACACATACTTTCTAGTTGTTGCTCTTTGGTTCTGAGGATTCAACCGGGAGAGTTTGGTGCCAACTGAATCATTTAACATTGACGAAGGGCTGCCTACTAAGATACCGAAGAAGCACCTGTGCTTTAATAAAATAAAATCTTTCTTTTTAAATAACCATGAAAATAACTTGTGCATTGTAGCTATGAAGTCGATAGTAATCGACAGAACGTTGAACAATATTGCTGCTGTGTTGTTACCAGACTTACGTTCACATATTGGCAAGTGATTGGTCCAATTGTCCAGGAAACAAGTCCTGGTGTCATCCTTACTCACCATCTGATACCTGTAATTAAACAGTACAATAAAGGTTTACATGCTGAGATGAACACCATCAGATAAATTACCAAGGGTTGCAAAAACAAAGTGCCAGATTAATATCTCTTTATGTGCTACTGTATCACTCTTACACTATTCAAAAAGACAGTAGTTATGTGTAGTGTAACTATGCAAGTTACACTTTTTTTGGCATGTTTTAATTCAACTAATATATATGGTTATAACTACTGTAGGGTTGCAAAATTCCGGGAATTTTCAAAGATGGAAACTTTCCATGGGAATTAACGGGAATAAACGGGAATTTATGGGAGTAAACTGGGAATTTTCAAAATTAAAGGTTGGCTCTTCAGGGAACTTAAATATAGTTGGGTAAAGTATATTTTAGCATAATCTTTACTAAAACAAACAGATGCTATTCAAGTACACTTGAATATCCATGCCATAGCACACTGCTTACTGCATGGCTATTGAGACCACACATAGGTTCCCAACAGGCTCACAAATGTGAGAGTGGAAAAACTGGTTGGCATTCAGGCAAACCTAAGGCTCTCTGAGCCTGACACAGAGCCATCCTCAACAAGGCTGGACAGTGACACTGAAGAGGAAGACTCAGAGTTGGATGTTGATGAGGCCCAGGAAGAGCCCATTGACTGAAAGGGTTTAGCAAAAATGCAGAGGATTGCTTGAAGGAAGATGTGCATGTTTAATGGGACTTTTTGGAGGGAGAAGGGCTCTTTTCATTTAACATTTTGAATTGGACTTTGTGGGTATTTTTGGATGGGGGGGGGGCATTTTTGTTCATTTTTTAATGAGTGGAGTTGGGGGGGATGAGTAATATTTAACTCAACATTCCCGCTTTCGTTCTTCATTGAAACAAATAATAGTTCAATACAATAATTAAAACTTGTTCTGTTCTACTTAAAAAAAAAAAAAAATCTGTTGAAATGTCATGTTTTTTGTTTTTGCATTGAATTAATACCAAAATTCCCCAGCTTAACTTCCCTAGAAACTTTCGGAAATTTACCGGAAACTTTCCGCCCCTTTGTGACCCTAGTTATAACACAATATAAAGAAGGTGAGAATACATATCGGGACATTTGTATTTGTCACTGTGACTCTTCTTGTGAAACCTATGACCAAAAACACATAATTTACAACAATTGAAATCAGGTGACATATGTCTTATGGCATCATACATACATACACACATACGTGTCTATTTTATGAATCATTCCATGAGCACTTACCCTTCATTACAAAAGTATTTAATTTTTGTTCCAAAAACAAGCTCTTCCCCGTGGGTGATTTGATAAAAGCCATTGGGAGTGTCGTCAGGGAGTTCACATGGCTTTACTGAAAAAAGAATATTCCTTAGCACAGTTTCTTAATAAATGTAACATTATCCCTGTTTTGATGTTTGATATTTTTAATTGAACATGAACGCAAATTGACTGGGTGCTTCCAAATGTTTTCAGATACTATGGACAATCAAGTGTATGCAATTACAATCGTGTCAATAAAATGTGAAACTACTCTGAGCCTGAAGGAAATAATGTAAAATGTCTTTATAAAAATGAATTTCAGTTTATAAAGGATTTATATATGTTATACTGATGACAGCCGTCACTGAAGTGGTAACAGAAAAATGACTCAAGAAGAAAGCTGTTTAACTCACAGTAGCAACTTCCTGCACGGAGTACATGCCACCCTTCGTTTGTACATACGTATTTGATGGTTGGACCTGATATATAACCAGTTTCACAGGCGAAATGTATCACGTTTCCTCCTTGGTACTCAGCTTTTTCGGTCTTGTCAACCACATGGGCATGAGGAATATGTGGGACGTTTGGACATGCTAACAAACAGCAACATGGGAATGCAAGGGTTAATTGGACATGTCTTAAAAATGAGGATATAACTTTACAGTGCACTATAATATTAAAAAGTCAACATCACACCCATGAACTTCACCCCCTCCCTTTAACCTGTATTATGTTTCTACTAACGAAAAGCAAATATTAAAAAAAAGTCTGTCTTACCATTCTGTGATAAGGTAACCTCCACATTCCCCCACAGTTGAAGAAGCAAGAGGATTAGAGACAATTGCATTTTGAGGAGCAGTGACAAAGTCTAACTGAGACTAACTTCTTTGACCAACTCTGTCTTTCTGTGTTTGTCCCCAGCCACAGTCGTCGGGGAGTACCGAGGGTCAGCGGGATTGCACAAGGCTGTATGAACACAACATGACGCGTAAGAAAACACAGAGCACACGCTGTTCGTAAAAGCAATAATAGAAGCGACAGAAAAGTTCACAGACAGTGTCTTTTGTACTATAAATAATCTATTTGTAGTCCTTTAATAGTGTATTCCCTTTGGTATCCTTTCAAAAATAATTCATAAAATACTGCCAGAGACTCTGCACTTTCTGAAAACATTATGTTAACAAACATTAGGGACAGATATAAGGAAATATTTTATGATAAATCAAGTTAGACCCGACAGGATCAGCAACAAGGACATCAAAAACAAATAATGTATTTAATACACTATCGATTAAAGTGATTATAAATTGGTATGGTTTAACGGAGCAGATACATCACTGGTTTACGACTGTCTTGAAGCAACTTAGAAATAAAGCTGAGGGACTTTGGGATATGTTTGAGTATCAGTTTATGTCAAGTTACCACATCCAATGTGTTGATGCTACAGAGTCAAAGTCCATTGTTGAAATCATTAAGTAGAACAACCAGTCAAAGACGGAATTACAGTTACTGTATTGAAATAATGCACTCTAAGGATGTTTATAAAATCTAATAATTAGGACATTTCCCATTTAAAAACCTTCAAAAGCACGAGTCACCTTTACATTTTTCTTTCTACATGTCTTACCCTAACTTGACTAACCCATGAGCTTAGTTTTAACATGAAACTAAACAATGTTCTAAAAAGTCCTGGTGGAAAACAATGGTGTACTTTGTCCCTTTCAAATCTAAATGACCACTGTGCTGTTTTATTTATTCAATCCACAACCGCTCTGTGAGTGCATTTATGGTCCAAATAGTTTGTATTTCATAATTTTTATAAACTGTTTTGAGTATTCCTTTAAAATGATAATAAATAATTCTTAAGTATCTAAATAATCACCAATAATTATTTATAATTTTAAATCATCTTAAATCATTATTTTGTATTTCATATTTCTCAAGTTGAAAGTGTTACATTAGCATTACTTTGGGGTTTGGGGTTCAACAGTCTAATAGAACCAATAAGTTAAACAAGTTACTTTCTTCCTATATTTTATACTTTTCCTCAAAACACATTAAAGACATTATTATAGATGTTAAAAGTTCTTAAAATCTGAAGCCAGTGTAAAAACTTTGATTTTGGAAACTTTATTTGTGTTCCTTTGATTGATTGGTTAAAAGGTTTTAAGAAAGTTCTAATTTGTTTTTTGTGGGCGACTGTGAACCAGAAGGTTGTGGGTTCGATCCCAGTCAACATGTCGATTTATTCTTGCACAAGATACTTAACCCACCCCAACGGTGTATGAATGTGTGTGAATGTTAGTTTCCAAAGAACAATTGGCACTGCTCTGTATGAATGAGGTGTGAAAGAGTGAATGACATGTAGTATGTAAAAGCGCTTTCCTCGGGCTGCAGGCCCTGATGGTATTAGCCCCAGGGTCCTGAGGGCCTGTGCCAGCCAGCTGTCTCCTGTTCTTCAGCACCTGTTCAACCTGAGCCTGTATCTCAAGACCATCCCGGTGCTGTGGCAGACGTCTTGCGTTGTCCCTGTCCCTAAAAAGACGACTCCTTCTGGGCTCAATGACTATCGCCCTGTAGCACTCACATCTCATGTGATGAAGGTGCTGGAGAGACTGGTCTTGGCCCATCTCAGACCGCGGGTGAGATCATTTCTAGACCCTCTGCAATTTGCCTACCAGCCTCACCTGGGGATGGACGATGCCATTATTTACCTGCTGCAGCGTGCTCACTTTTTTGATTTCTCTAGCGCATTCAACATGATCCAGCCTCGGCTACTGAGTGACAACCTGCAGACTATGAGGGTAAACTCGTCCACCATCTCCTGGATTACCAACTACCTCACAGACAGACCACAGCACGTCCGGCTGGGCAGTTTCTGATGTGATGGTTGGTAGTACAGGAGCCCCACAGGGGACTGTGCTGTCTCCTTTCCTGTTCACCTTGAACACAACTGACTTTCAATACAACTCTGAGTCATGCCATCTGCAGAAATGTTCGGATGACTCTGCAGTGGTAGGGTGTATAAGGGATGGACGGGAAGAGGAGTGGTGGGTGATTTTGTGGAGTGGACTGGAAGAAATCTTCTGCTTCTGAATGTGGCCAAGGCCAAAGAGATGGTCATTGATTTCAGGAGGAAGAGGACGTTTCCTCAGCCCCTGTGCATTCTGGGAGAGGATGTGGCTGTTGTGGGGGACTACAAGTACCTGGGAGTGCACTTAGACAATGGGCTGAACTGGAGGATCAACACTGACGCTGTGCACAAGAAGGGGATGAGCAGACTCTATTTTCTGAGGAAGCTGAGATCCTTCAACGTGTGCAGCAAGATGCTGGAGATCTTCTAGTCTGTTGTGGCTAGTGCACTCTTCTTTGCTGCGGTCTGCTGGGGAGGCAGCATCAGAGCCTGGACACCAGCAGGATCAATAAACTGATCAGGAAATCTGGGTCTGTCATCGGCATCAAGCTGGACCCCTTTGAAGCTGTAGTTTTTCTCTTCACTGTACATTTTACATTTATATATTCAGTCTAATATTTAATATTCCATCTCTCACATACTTAAATATAAAAATATAACACCTTGCTTTATATCTTGTTATGGTTAATTTGTAAATTCAACATGTATATTTTCTACTTTCTTGTTTATTTCTTGTCTTTTAATTTTTATTGTACAATGCCATGTCTTTTTATGCTGCTGCTAAACAAAAATGTCCCAAATTGGGATCAATAAAGTTCTATCTTAACTTATCTTACAGTCTATTTTTCAGCTTTAGCTCGTCATTGCTCTAAATCCCACTTGCAATAAGTAAAAAGCATATTCAGTCACTACGGGTTTGTTTTTCATTATAACACAATAAAGAGAACAAATAAGGCAATTGTAATTTATTTTATTTTTTAATCAATATGGCAAATGTATAAAAGTTGTTTAATACATAAATGATTGATTCAGTCGTTCCATTTCCAACAAGTGTATATAATAATACATACATGATGTATTAAGATGATATATGAGTATGAGTAATGCACACTTAAAAATCACTTCCTTACTGATGAACAGATGCCAAAATAATAACCATAGATTATTTTTAGGGGGGTCCATTTTATTGGCATTCCTTTGGACCACCAACAAAACCAGCATCACTGTTGTTCAGCGGCAGCTGTGGGAGGGAATACATGTGTTCAGTATCATATCTTAAAGTGCCGTGTGTAAATAATGCATTCAGCTCCATCCTTTTTACATGAGTCTTCTAACCTTTGTCTAACCATAACCAAGAGAAACTAGAACCTAATCCTAACAAAGTTTGAGACGCTTTTTTATTTGCGATCTATAAACATAAATCAGTGCATCTTCTGCTTCACATCTTAATGATAATATAATACATTGGAAAATAATTGTGGCATTTCTTAAGGAATTATTTTTCAGTTTAAATCATATGTTATTAATAAAGTTGTATGAACACCAATCAAGTCTACATATTTGAACAGCTAAATTATGAACCAATACTGCCTTACAGTATATTCTGATTTAGAGATACTGTATTTCTTCAGGCCAGTAAACTCCCTTTACCATGTATACATAATACAACAACATTTTGTGAAATGCTTTTTCATGTACGTACATGTGCACATTATGTTCGTTTCCCCCCATTGCCCATCAATGCATCGAATCGTGGTTTCTCCCTTCGCTGTATAGCTTTTACGGCACTTATAAGTAACTTCAGAATCAGATAAGTATTCTTTCTGATATGCAGTCATGACAACTGCATTTTGTACTTTATCTGGAGGAATGCAGGGATTGGCCTCAGCTGAAAAGTTGAAAACATGTACAGCATTAGGTTACGCCATGTGATCTTCTAATCATAATTAACATGTACAGATTAAGAGTGAAGATGACTCACGTTTACAGATTATTTTCAGTGGTACTCCATCAAGACAACTAAAGTGCGACACCTCAGTGCTGTATCCTTCTGTACAATTAACCTGGGCGCTTTCCCCTGTGAGTGCAACTGTCACTTTCCCATTAAGAATAACAGGAAGATCTCCACACGTTGTATTCTCTAGAGTGGATATGTTTCAAACAATTAGTTTTTTATTGTTGTAACAGGTATTAGCAATAAATAACATTGACATTATAAAAATGTAAACAATCAAGGATGTCACTTTAAAAAAACAAATGAAGTTGTAACAAATTCAAACTAAGACTAATACTAATTAACATTTTACAAATAGGTGGTTGCTCACAAGTGTCAAAAATCAGACTACATCATAAGTCATTATTAGTCTGCCTTTAATTTGGTGGTGAGGAATTGAAGTCGCGTGACTGTGTTATTAGTTAATAGCCTTATTAAGTTTTAACATTAGCTGTATATTTGCAATTGCTTCTATGCTTGCAAAATCATACAAAATTGTGTTTATTTGTGATGATTTTCGTGTTCCTCAAAACCGTTAAAAATCTCTTTCAGAAAGTATAGATTTGTATTATGTTTGTGTATAGGCTATCCTTAGGAAATCTTATTCTTAACCGTTTCCAAAAAACCTCTTCTACACCTTTTAAAATAGTTTTTGGTATACTTCATGATGGTTGCAACAACAAGACCTGTTAGGCATTAAAGATGAATTACCGATGCATGTTTTAAGTTCGGACGACACACTGTCATTGCACTTGGCCTCAGCCCACCAGCCTTTGGTTGGAAGCTTATATCCTTCTTCACAGGTGTAGTACAGGGTGTCGTTGTATGGCCCGACTACAAATCCATGTTGGACTTTAACGTTTGAACATGCTGTCGATGAAAAACAAAGAAATAAGTCATATTAAGATGGCGTGACTTGATAAATAGCTAATGTTAGCATGCTAACAAGCTAAACTAAGCTAAACTAAGACAGTTGGCCTGATACCTTTACAGCATGCTAGCATTGCAATGATCAGGATGATAACAAGATAGCATTGTTATTTTAATGAAAGTTTAGAGTGCAGTAAATCAAGAGAGGAGCTTTATTTATCATTTTCAAGTAAACAGGCATGTGTTGAGGGGAGAGAAAAAGCATGAAGTAGAAATTGCTCAACAGTATGTCACGATTCTCATGTTATGTCACGTTTATAGTTTTGTAGGTTTGGGTGTTTTTGCTGTTTTCCATGTCATGTTTTCCTTTGGGTTATTGTCTTGTCATTAGTTTCCCTGGTGTGTCTAATTGTCTGATTATGTTCACCTGGTTCCCTGTGTTTTCTCCTCCCGCCTCACCTGTGTCTTGTTGTGTGATTGAGTCTTGTGTGTATTTAAGTTCTGGGTTGTCTGTCTGTCTTGGTCGGTTCGTCTTTGTCCCTGACTAGTTCTGCGGTTAGTGTTCTGTTTCTCATTGCCCAGCAGATCCGTTCGAGTCGGAATTATTAAATGTTTCCTTTTTTTTGGCTAACTGCTCGGATAGATGGAAGAGAGCACCCGGAGTTCAGCAGCGGGAGGCTGTGTTGTCGGAGGCGCGCCAGATGGCTAGAGAGAAACCAGGTATGGTGAAGTTCTTACCTGGCTGGATTTCAAAGATCCTCCCTGTGTGTGATTCCCGGCCTGCTANTTTCAGTTTATATCTGCATTTGGGTCCTGCTTGTTTCACAAACCGTGACAGTACGAACCGACCAAGAAATGGGCCCAGCAGATCCGTTCGAGTTGGAATTATTAAATGTTTCCTTCTTTTTGGCTAACTGCTCGGATAGATGGAAGAGAGCACCCGGAGTTCAGCAGCGGGAGGCTGTGTTGTCGGAGGCGCGACAGATGGCTAGAGAGAAACCAGGTATGGTGAAGTTCTTACCTGGCTGGATTTCAAAGATCCTCCCTGTGTGTGATTCCCGGTCTGCTAGCCCCAGGCATGCTAGCTCCCGGCCTCCCAATTCCCAACCTGGCACCATACGCCTCGGTGGGTTCCGTTTGCAGTCAACCCATGCTTCTGCCCCAGTTCCTGCTCCTGTCCAGGAGTCATATTCTGGAACTCGTCTGGGTTATGGAGGTCCACTGAGTATTCAGGCGGCTGCTAAGAGGAGGAGTCGCAAGGCCAAGCTAGCAGCTCAAGCCCCAAGAGCCATGGTTCCAGCCCCAGCAGCCATGGCTCCATGCTCCAGTACCGGCCCACGCAGCTTTGCTTCCATACTCCATTACCTGGCTTACACAGCCAGGGTCCAGGCTTCCGCTCCGCGCCCAGCAGCCAGGGTTCCGGCTCCAGAACCGGACCTTACAGCCATGTTTCCGGATCCAGAACCAGACCTTACAGCCCTNACATATTATCCGTCAGAACCTATATTTATTGGGAATTGTCACCAGACACTGCATTACTCAGTTTTTACTTACGTTCACACAGAGGTGTGGGGCTCCATTCTGCTCTTACTCCTTGCTTTGTGCATTTTGAAGATCTGGCTCCAACGCTTGTAAATAAGTGATCACACTGAAACTCCAGGAATTGATCTTCTTTGTACTCTTGGGTTTGTCCAAGCACTTCACCATGTTCAATCTCGGGTGCTGTACATATTATCTCTGTTGAATAATACACAAGCAAGAATAAAGATTTCCGAAAGGTCACCTATTATGCAATGTCTTTTATACATAAACATTTATAATATGTTTATACTGTATAAAGAGATTCTGAAAGTTTCAGGAAAAAGTATTTGCTCACTTTTTGTCCTGATCCATTTAAATCAAAACCTGTCTGAAAATGAGCTGATCAGATTTCGGCCACTTTACAAGCCAATTACACAAGTTATTGGCTTGTGTAACCATTAGCCAATCACCAATCAAGGTAAACCCCCCCCCACCCCACCTTATCACCCGAATCTCCTCCTAGAGCACCATTGTGTTATTTTTAACCAAATATCTCTCAGAGGGGCGTGGGGAGGGGCTCCTTATTTTCATCTAAAGTAACAGACAGAGAATCAGCTCTTTTGAAACAGAGGGGTTTATGGGATGCTACAATGTATGATCTGTTTGGTATTTTGAGCCAAACACTTCAGAGACATGTTTTGTGTATATCTGAGACCTATAATATATTGATGAAAAACATTATAATAGGGGATCTTTAAGGAAAAGGTAAATGAAAAAGCCATAGAGTGGAATGCGCCTTGAACAACTGGAGGGGCGTGGTGGTATTACATATTTAGCTTTTTTTACATTTGACATGGTGGTCATTATGTGCTTTTTGTTATGTTGGTGTTCTTGACAGGGTGATTAATAGTGTATGTGTGTCTGTCTACCTCTTTCCCTCTATGTTCAGTTTATTTCTCAACATGAGACACTTTGTGCTTCCTGTTTTCACACACTGCAATACCTTTGCATTTTGGAGATTCGCCCACCCACTCTCCATTTTCATCACAATACATCTCGGCTGACCCAAACAACACTTTAGAGCTGGACTTGCAGCTGAATCGAACTACATTCCCAAAGGTTGCTTCCTCAATGTCCCCATTCACTTGGACATGACTGTCCACGTCGATTATTGGACACTGTTGTGCTGAAACAAACATAACCCAAAACAATTTAAAATGTATAGCGTTTTTGAGTGTCAATTATTGGAAGAATAACATAATTGTTTAGCTCTTACCTTCACATACAGGAATATTACCATCCCAGCCTTCAGCCATGCAACGCCGGTAGTTTGTGCGACTGACCATTTGATAACTGAAAACAGTATAATATAGTAACAAGATGATGGACATACCTTATTCACCATTAAATACTTCCTGTTTCCCGAGGGTATACAGTCATTTGATAGGCTGTGTCCATGTTTAAAATGGGTGTTATAACATTGTAATATTGGTGTAACATGTGTGTAATATAGGATTAATGTGGGTATAATAACAGTGTAGCATGGTTGTGACATGAATTAAATATGGGTGTAATAATGGTGTAATGGGGTGAAATGTAGAAAATAGTAATACATTCATTTAAAATGTAAGGGTTAAAGCCACATTTAAACTGTACTGCTTGTTATACAGGGTTAACGACATGTACAATGTATAATATGTAGGAAGTCAAAGATTCATAAGAAGTACACATTTGTAATTATACATCTTTTCATACCCTTTGTGGCAGGTGTATTTCACCTGTGACCCAAATACAAAATCCTCTCCCTTTTCCAGTTGAAAATCTGCATTCTGGGAATCACCGGGATGACCACATGGTTTTACTTAAAAAGTAAGAATGATAAAACAAATGTTATTTTTGGTGATACAATAGTACTTTTAGCCTGCTTGTGCAATGTACACCGATTCAAACCATGACATGAATAGGTCAAATCATATACTATTACAAGATTACGTGTTGCATATAATATTTACAAGTACTTAGCATAGAATGACTTCCTAATGGTAGAATATACAATGTAATAGATCCTAACTCACGTGTACATATTGTGCCTTTGGTGTCCCATTTTCCCTCGACACAGATCAGTTTGAAAAAGCCACTGAAGCCAACATTGCAGCCCACTCTGACTTGCCTTCCACCACTGTATGTGGCTGCCAGACCACTTGTGTCAAAATTTTGATTATACTGGGGGCTATTTAAAAACTGTTCAAGTGTACACTCTGTGGGACAAGAAATACATATCAGTATTTTGTGTCCAACTCCGATACAAAACATCAAGCGGTAAATGTAATGGTTAGATACAAAATTGAAATACTTGGGCTTACCTCGACCTTTCACAAAGGTCAGCGAGTGCATCCACAAAAAAAGGACACAGCTTTGGGTTATTAGATGCATGTTATCTTCATTACCCTGAACTGCCAAACAGAAGTAGAAACAGGAGACTGAAACACTATTATACACAGAGAGAGGTAGAGAGCTCAGGGTTTCGCAGGGAAGGAGGTTGTTCAATGATTTACGCAAGTTTGTTCCAGCCTCCAAACCAATCTGAAGCTCACAGGGAACAGAACAAAAGGGGAAGTCACAACACGTTTTTTTGTTTTTGTTTTTTAATACAGTGCAATTAGTGTTCCAATGGATTTATTTTCCTGTCCAGTCATCTTCTGCTATCATTCAGTAACACAAACAGAATATTCCTGTAAGGGTTTATTGGTTTTTTCCTTCTTGGTAATCATTTGCTGCAATCAATAGCGCAAACAAATGTCATGTCATTATCATGTCGACACAGATTCTTCTTATCTCGAGTGAAAATAAAATAAAACAATAAGTAAAGAGGAATTTCACTTCAAAACTTGATCCAAAGTATTACGACTATTTAAAATGAATATCGAACTAAACTGAGTTTATTTTATGTGCATACATTTCAAAGTTGTCGCAACACTCACACAGAGTTCATACAAACTCTTGTTTGTTGATGGCCTTGTAAAAAGATAGAGCAAGTTGCCAAAGGCTAGCAAACAAATTCAGATCCAAAACTCAGTTGGGAAATCAAAATGTAGCTCTTAGGCAATGCAGGATTTGCCTTAATTTCTCAACATGGCTTCATGTTATTCATACTAGATGTACTAAGGTTCAAGACTCAAGGTTCAAGGGTTCAAGGTTCTTTATTGTCAAACTAACATAGCTACAGAGTAATTATATCATTGAAAATCTTAGGTCACAGGCTTGTCCAACAATGCAACACAATAATACAGATAAGCAGACAATATTAAAACAGAAGTTAGGTAAGTGTTTGCGTCATTATAAATATTGCACCAACTTATTTGGCACAACATTTGTAAACAAACAGGGATAAGAAACTGTTATGATATTCAATCTGAAGGTATTTGATTAAAGCCGATATAAAGCTTTATTATAATCTACATTTCCCCAAAATGGCAACCCATGCACTTGGGCTTAGTCCTAATGCAGAGAACTCGGGTTCAAATCCAGCCGTCTTCCCTTTTCAACACTGTCTTGCTATCTTTATGTGTCAAGAATATCATTTATTTTCCTGCCAGGGTGGAAAAAACCTCCTGGAATTCTTTAGTTTTAGTGTCTTATGATGGTTTCAGTTGCATGCATATCTGTTTTAGGTAGTATACAGCAAAGGGCTGATAGAAGGGAAAGAGGCATGATATGAGAAGCAAAGATGCTTCAATTTGATCATTTTTAAGAGAGCCTAGGACACATCCATAAATAAATACACAAAGATTCTAGATTAGATATTGACCCAAGAACACAGCTGCTGCAGGAATCGCTCAACAGTGACCTCCTGAGGTACCAGACAGGTGTTGCTCCACAGAGACAAAAAACACAGAGAAATATAAAGAAATATCCAGAGGTAACAGCAAAGTCCCAGCAAGTGTTTGGAATGAGGTAATAAACTATTTCTATACAAAAAAAGTTACATTTTGTTCTCCCTTAAATGTCCTGTTATTGCCATAAAACTTGCCAAACTTAATTCCTGTTTAGATTAAGCATATGTTCCTTAAACCGAGTTTATGAAGTAAATCAGTGGGGCAAAGACAGACAGGCGGATAGTGGAGGTTAAAACAGATGGCGCTGAATATTCAAATGCTATACAGCTACAGAGAAGCAGAATGCAACAAAAATAAACTTGTGTTAATTTCTTCTGGTAGAAACAGTCAATCTGCTGGGTGTTTTTTATTTAAAAAGAAATCATGATTCAAACCTAACTCCATTTAAAATTCATACTACAGATGACATAATAAAACACATACCAATTGCCATAGGTTTGGGACTCACCACTTATTTTTTTAGAATCAAAACATTCATTGTCACATAATAAATGTTTTTATACTGCAAAAACTTGACTTTTTTTGTCAACAATCCCCCCAAATTAAACGACAAAAACATCTTTGTTGTATTATTATTTGGAAATGCAGTCCATCGATAACTTTAATCAAACAATCAAACAAACCGTTGCCCTTTTTAAGTGTTAAATACGAGGAGGAGGAGCTTTTCTCTGCTTTATATATATTTTTTAATATATGTATGAAAAAAACCATATTATCAAAGTCAAAAAGTCAAAGTCAGCTTTATTGTCAAGAATTCTACATGTTGTACATCCAGAAATCTCGAAATATCGTTTCTCAAGGTGTGACATATACATCAAACAAAAAAAAAAGAAAAAAAAAAAGGGCCTAGATAACCGGGGTATACCGTTTAAAATGTTAATAATATGTTAATGTTCAGCGGAGATGGCAGAAAAGTGACTGGTGCTGGATGAGGGAGTTTGGTTGTGTGTGTGTGTCTGTGTGTGTCTGTGTGTGTGATATGATAATGTATTTTCTGAGGGTATGATGTAGGCATAGAGATGCGTTAAAACAGTTTTCTTTAGAATAATAGGAACTTTTCAATAGTAATGACAAGAAAATCACCAACTTTGAAAGGCAAACTTATAACGTTCATCCTTTATTCTATCTATTTTAGTTGATGCTATCCCAGTCTGCACATTCAACTAAAAGCTTTCATTTTATTGGGGGCATGTCAATTAATTGGATTTGATAATTTGAGGAACAAAAGCATCTTTTTAAGTATTACATATTTTCCCCCTTTAAGCCAACAGAAAATCTAATGAATTGATATGTATTATGCTTGTGTGGGTCAGTCTTGTTCAGAGCACAGCTGAGAGGCAACTGTGAGAACAGAGGCAGATTGAAATCCCACTGGCCCTCCCACTCATTCCCACAGGGGCACACCATGCTTGATGTGGATGCATTTACTGTCGGAGCCTTTAGAGCAGGGGTGTCAAACTCAAGGCCCGTGGGCCAAATCCGGCCCGCAACTTCATTTTATGTGGCCCGCATGAGCTTGCAAAGAATATAATACGTTTATTAGTTTAAAGTTCAAGACTATATAGTCTTAAAGTTACAACCGGCCCTTTGAGTGCAACCATAATGCTAATGTGGCCCGCGATGAAATTGAGTTTGACACCCCTGCTATAGAGGGTGCAGAGGCTAGAAATATCCCCATATATGGATTACCAAAGGGTCAAGGAGGACATGTGTCCCATAGCTATGGACTGCAAGATGCAAAAGCTGAAGCAATGTCTCCACAACAAATGTATATCAAGCATATCAAATTATGAATAAAAGGAAGATTTATAAATTATTGGCAAAAACACCACAATGTAAAAGTGTAATCACAGGCGTCATCCAAGCCACTATTTTAACCATGGTAGACCTTGATAAGCTTTATATTTGGGGGACAAGGTTGTGTTTTCACCTTTTCTTTATCTCTCCACTAGAGGACAGAAGCGATCCACAATGTTGGAAGAGCAGAAAACTGAGGTTTTAATGAAAAGAAAACATAACAAAATAAATCAATAAAAAAATCAAATATTTTAAATGCCATGTTTTATATGATAACACATTGTTGGAAAGAGAAGAAAATGGACACCAGCTGGTTTTATTACGTCCAGTAAACGTAATGTTGACCTTAACTTTTCTGCTCAGCCAGTTAGTTTGGCTTCATGTAAAATAAACAGATATTCCAAAGAATATAGAAAAATAAATACATACTGTCTGACCTTTACCGTGTTTATGTATTTCAGGGAGGACATGTATATTTGCTCTGCACATTCATTTAGTGTGTTCCACACACAGGTGATGGATGGAAGTACTAAAGAGCAGAATTCAGACTGACTGCTGTTGAGGAAATATTTTACCACGTATGCAAACTCAAACTTCTTCACGTAGCAAACACATTTGATAAAAAAAGCTTTCTTCTGTTTAATGTTATCTTCCAAAATTACAACAATTCATTTGCAAAACATGGTTATTTAAAAAAAAAGATCCAATCTAAGCAGTTCAGTTTAAAAAACGATAGGCCATGGCATTTTCTTATCGGCAAAGAGGAAAAATATTTTTAATTTGAGCAAACTTCTGCCAAGTTAATCATTTAGTAAAAAGTAAAATATACATGATGTTAAAATGTTGAAGATATAAATTATTTATCTGACTGACATAATGAACCTAAAATGTGCTCCATAAATAATTCAACTTTTTTTAAATTTATTTTACTTTTTTTAATGAAGGAATGTATTTTCATTGCTGGTCAGATGCCAATCAGCTTCATGTGTCAGAGTAAACTGTGTAGGGCTCCTGATGGAGGACTAGTGGATGTGTTTGAGGCTGTATCCGGAGCAGTTACCATGTTGTCTTTGGCAGCATGATAATCTGTGACTGTTTATTAGATGGGATAAGCATGAATGTTTATCTCCCCATGAACACACAGCCAAGATCTCCCTAAGGATTTCACTAATGATATACAGTAGCAATTTATCTTACAGGTTAATGAACTGGTTGTTCCATCTGAGAGGGTGATTTACTTCTCAACATTGCAAAGTCTGATGTGTGAAAATGTCAGATTGTCAAGATAAGCTTAGTCTTAGCCGTCATTGGCTTTCTACAGACTCAATACTCATTTATGTTCCAGTGCCTCTCCTGCTTTGAACCTAGTGTTTCTCACAGCTGAAGAGAGGCCCTGTTAAAAACACATGGCTGACCGACTCAGATCCGATACATGTCTCCTCAGCGGCCGAGCCTCCCGCAGCTCAAAATAGGAATAATGAATGATTCAGAGTGATGAAACAAGAGGTCTCTGCAGACTTGAGCCTCAAAAAGCACAAACGATGGTCCATCAATGCATCTGGAACAGACTCAGTGAAAAACCTGTAGAAAGCCAAAGCAGTGAATAGTCGGAACTATCTTTAGGGAAAGCAACGACTCAGATGAAGATTCATGGGACTGGATTTTGACAAAACAGTTTTGACCATCCCCTTTAATTTGCTCTGAGAAAATATAGATTGCTTTTTTATTAAATGTCATGTAGCCTATTGACCATGACTGTTGTCCACTTCTAGAGCTACGTCTTTAAAATG